ATATCCAACTCGTCTTGCCTTTCACTATGAGATAGAGACGAAAGGAGCGAGGCCATGATGCAATATATTCGCTGAAAAATACCCCGAAAAAGGGGTTTGAACACAAGAGAAAACAATCCAAAGGTATTCTCAGGTAGGCTAGACTCCCAAGGGGGAATCGCTGAAGGTTAGGAAAGAGGGTGGAGGTGTGGTGGAGTCTAGGGCAGCAGTCGAAGGTATTGAGAGAGGTGGGTGGAGCGTGTAATGCTCTGATACCAAAAAGAGAAAAAATAAATTGTGTAATTTCTTGTCTCTCTTTGAGTGCATATATTTATATTTACCAAGTAGGGTTACTATAAAGGAATAAAATAAATTCAAATCCTTAATTAACCGCGATCCAATCAAAAGACTTGGAATTACGGGGACAAAATAAACCGTAAATTCCAAAAACTTTTGTTGGTGCTATTCGGCAGTTTCCATTTGAAGAGATGCTTTATGCTTCCATTGCTCAAAAGATTCTGTAATGGTATTTTTTGGAATCTTCATACAGCCTCTTCATCTCTCCTTTGATATTTGTATGCGAGGACGGAACCTTTGCTTTAGTTTTCGACTGTTCCTTGCCTGCAGATTCTTAAACACTTGGCAAATGTAAAAGTGTAAAACCCTCTTAATAAAGAAAAAAGTATCAACTAAGATTAAGCAAAGGAAGGTTTCAAGTGCAAATGTAGTTTTTGACTGTTCCTTGCTTGGTAAATATAAATATCTGCACTCAAAAGAGGCAAGCAGTCCACCCATCTCTCTGTTCGTTACTTAGTGTTTAGACTGTAAGTTTTATGAAACTAGAGGAATAAATGTCTTAATTTGACCTACCTGTTGGATATGACTATAACTATATCATATTAAAATTTAAATGTTACTTAGTGTTTTTTTTTTTTTTTTCCCTTTTTAATTCTTGTTTTAAATATGTGTGTAATTGGAGTACTTAATTAGAGGTGAATGTTAATCAAATTGATTTATTTAAACATAAAACTAAAACCAATTTAATCCTATGAAATCGAAACCAAATCAACTCACTAGAGTTTGTAAGTTATCTGTGCCTCTTTAAGTAAAGTACGGAGCCCTCTTTTTCTTAATCCTAATAGCAGTCAGACTTTTTAAACCTATATTATATATATAAACAACTACTTTCTTAAAATAAGTTTTCTTACCACTAGACACAAATATGTTGTCCATGCCTCTAGGGTTTCGGTTCTCCCCCCACAACTCCTCACCCATTATCTGAGAAGAAAAATGAAGCAAGAGTCGTTGCCTTGCGAGGGTGTAATATTGGAGAGTGATATTTATGGCGAAGCGCCATAGAATATATTTAGGGTGGAAGATCCATGGCATGCATTCAAGACCATGGAATTTGTTATCTATGTCTTCACCTAGTTGAAAAAAATTGGCAGTGAGAAGAAGAGAATTGTTCAGAGAGCTGGGTGTGGGGCATGAGATGGCCAAACTGGCATCAAGAACATATTTATAATGAGGAGAAAGAGCTTATTGGATTCAAGAAGATGTTGAGTTTTGAAGCAGATGTGAAGAAAGATGAGTTCTGTAAGAATAAGACACTCATCGACACCCAGTAGAGGAAAATTGGCGGTGAGAAGAAGAGAATTGTTTAGAGAGCCGGGTGTGGGGCATGGGATGGCCAAACCGGCATCATTTATAATGAAGAGAAAGAGCTTATTGGATTTAAGAAGATGTTGAGTTTTGAAGCAGATGTGAAGAAAGATGAGTTCTCTAAGAATAAGATGCTCATCGACACTATCTGACATGTCTATTAAATGTATAGATGTTGCAATTTGGAGAAATTAGTTAATAAGTCCTAAATGACAGTAGGACTTGGCAATTGTATGTTTCAAAGAAAAAAAAGTTGAGTTTCGACTTCCTTTATTTTGAGAGTTCCATCTTTGATTTCTAGTCCATTCTTAGTATTTATACATTCAAATTTCCTACTAAGTTCTAAATTCACTAAATTAATTTGTTAATTAATATACATTTAAAAAATATCCATAAATTGTTAAATTTGATTTTGATATAAGGCCAAACATGATAAAATATACAATTTTTGTAAGTATAAATGTTTATCTAATTTCATAAATATTACATAAAACAAAACACTAATTGTAACGATTTAAATTTTAATATGATATAGTTATAGTCATATCGAGTAGGTTGGTCAAACTAAGACATTTTTATTCCTATATTCCTCTCGTTTCATAAAATTTATAGTCTATTATGAGATAGGTCCATTGAATTTCTTAAGTGTGTAAGGCATTGTTAACATAAAATTACTCGATGAGTAAAATGTTATTCTACTATTAGTTATAGGTTCATTCAATAGACATGTCAGTGTCGATGAGCATCTTATTCTTATAGGACTCATATTTCTTCACATCTGCTTCAAAACTCAACATCTTGAATCCATTAAGCTCTTTCTCTTCATTATAAATGTTCTTGATAGCGGTTTGGCCATCCCATGTCCTAAACTCGGTTATCTGAACAATTTTCTTCTTCTTGCCGCAAATTTTCTTCAACTGGGTGAAGACGTAGATAGCAAATTCCTTTGTCTTGAATGCAGATCTTCTGCCGTGAATATATTCCATGGCGCTTCGCCATAAATATCACGCTCCTCTCAAGGCAACGATTCTTGTTTCACTTTTCTTCTTAGATAGTGGGTGAGGAGTTGTGGGGGCGAACCAAAACCCTAGAGGCATGGACAACATATTTGTGTCTACTGCTAGATAAACTTATTTTAAGAAAGTAGCTGTTTATATTTATAATGTAGGTTTAGGAAGTCAGAAGTGGACTGCTATTAGGATTAAGAAAAAGAGAGCTCTGTACTTTTCTTAAAGAGGCACTGTTAACTTACAACCTCTCGTGAGTTTGATTTGGTTTCGATTTCATATGATTGAATTGGTTTTAGTTTTATGTTTAAATCAAATCAATTCGATTCACGTTCACCTCTAATTAAGTATTCAAATTAGACACAAGGTTCAAACAAGAATTAAAAGAAAAGAAAAAAAAAAAAAACAGTACATAGCATTTAAATTTTAATATGATAAAGTTATAGTGTTAAGACATTTATTCCTTTAGTTTCATAAAACTTACAATCTAAACACTAAGTAATGAACAGACAGTCTAAACACTAAGTAACGAATAGAGAGGTGGGTGGAGTGCTTGCCTTTTTTGAGTGCAGATATTTATATTTACCAAGTAGGGTTACTATAAAGGAATAAAATGAAATAAAATCCCTAATTAACCGTGATCCAATCACGGGACTCGGAATTACGGGGACAAAATAAACCGTAAATTGCAACAGCTTTTGTAGGTGCTATTCGGCAGTTTTCATTTGAAGAGATGCTTTATGCTTCCATTGCTCAACAGAGAGCTGGGTGGAGTGCTTGCCTCTTTTGAGTGCAGATATTTATATTTACCAAGTAGGGTTACTATAAAGGAATAAAATAAAATAAATTAAATTAAAATCCCTAATTAACCGTGATCCAATCACGGGACTCGGAATTACAGGGACAAAATAAACCGTAAATTCCAACAGCTTTTGTAGGTGCTATTCGGCAGTTTCCATTTGAAGAGATGCTTTATGCTTCCATTGCTCAACAGAGAGTTGGGTGGAGTGCTTGCCTCTTTTGAGTGCAGATATTTATATTTACCAAGTAGGGTTACTATAAAGGAATAAAATAAAATAAAATAAATTAAAATCCCTAATTAACCGTGATCCAATCACGGGACTCGGAATTACGGGGACAAAATAAACCGTAAATTCCAACAGCTTTTGTAGGTGCTATTCGGCAGTTTCCATTTGAAGAGATGCTTTATGCTTCCATTGCTCAACAGAGAGCTGGGTGGAGTGCTTGCCTCTTTTGAGTGCAGATATTTATATTTATTAAGTAGGGTTACTATAAAGGAATAAAATAAAATAAATTAAATTAAAATCCCTAATTAACCGTGATCCAATCACGGGACTCGGAATTACGGGGACAAAATAAACCGTAAATTCCAACAGCTTTTGTAGGTGCTATTCTGCAGTTTCCATTTGAAGAGATGCTTTATGCTTCCATTGCTCAAAAGATTCTGTAATAGTATTTGTTGGATCATACAGCCTCTTCATCTCTCCTTTGACATTTGTATGCGAGGGCTGAACCTTTGCTGTAGTTTTCGACTGTTCCTTGCCAGCAGATTCTTAAACACTTGGCATATGTAAAAGTGTAAAACCCTCTTAATAAAGAAAAAAGTATCAACTAAGATTAAGCAAAGGAAGGTTGCTAAGATGGGGACAATGATTTTCTTATTTTAGATTTGATGTTGATCATATTGCATATAGGTGCAAAATTAGCATGAACAAGCAATATGCCTTAGAAAAGAAAAAGCAATTGTTGAGAAAGGAAAAAATCCAGTAGCCGTTTCATTGGCGAAATAACTATTCCAAAAATTTGGACAACATCTTTTTTTTTTTTTAAAACAAACAAAAAATGAAATATCTTCCAGAAAATGGCTCTTGCCAATCTCTGATCAAGTTTTAAGAAAGGAGAAAAGTTTGAATAAATTAGGAAAAAAGAAAAGTTTGAATTTCTATCTTGTATGAAAATTATGGAAGGACATTTGGCATCAACAAACAAGGGAAACACTAGAAGACCATTTCTTTAGAGTTGCAACTCATTTGTCTTGTTCGGTAGGACATGTAAAAGCCCTGTTCAGTATATTCATCTGGGTTGGATATATAATGTAGACTCTGTTCATTATGTTCATCTGGTATTGTTATATAATCTGACTGTGATTAAATATAGTTGCTGAATCTTCTTTGCTTGGCATCATAAATAAATCTTCTTTGATTGTGTAGTGAGGAGTGAATTTAGTTTGTCTGCTATTAAAGAACTGATTGTTTCTGATTATGGACACCCTACATTTGCTTGGACAATTTTTATGCCTGATTCTTTTCACTATGATGTTAAACATTGTAGGAGGGTCAAGGACGACAAGACCGGAAACTTGCTGTTGGTCACCACAAACGGCGTAATGGAAGATCTGAGTTCATTGTGGCTCAAAACACAAAGGGATTATTTTGCAACACAGATGATAATTTTATTGGGATTGTAACTGCTAACTTCATGGGTACAAAATACCATATATGGGATCAGGTTCAATTCTTAAAATTTGCTACTAACAAGAATTTATTCAACCACATTTAGGAGTAAAATATGAGTGCTTGCCTTTCATCAGTTGAATAAATTCATTTAAATTGTCAATTCATTTGATTTCAGGGAAACCGCATCAATTCTTCAACTAGACAGTCAAAACTACCACTGGCTATTGTTTCGTAAGCCCTCTCTCTCTCTGTGCAAGTATTATATATATATATATATTTACATATTGTATATATATTTATATGCCTTTAGTTTGTTGATTTTTTTCCATTTGTTTATATAGCTTCTTGCCTACCATAGCGACCTGGTCAGGAAGTTACAGAAGCATGAGAGCATGGATACCTAAGCACCAATCCATGCAACTAAAATGTAGCACTCAGGTTAGCTGAACAGATTCAATTATTTGCACCACATTTCTGTTATTTCATGCAGTAACTTCATAATTTTGTCCATGTTATTCAGTGAAATTGGGATTTCTTAAATCTAATTAAATTCTCTTATAGATACAACATATTAGTGGACTACCCAAGGATTGGGAGGAGAAGAAGGAAAAGGTGCATCAGCTATTCTCAAGAGTTCCACAATACAATAATGTAAGTTCTGGAGGTTCGGTTTTTCCTCACGAACAAAACAATTCCAAAACTTCATCCTTATATCTTCTAAGTTTGAGCTTTTGGAATTCAAAGTCTTAGCATTTTTATGTTGCTCCCTCAGATATCGAAACAATATGAATTAGACTTCAGAGACAGGGGACGAGCAGGACTTAGAATCCAGAGCTCAGTCAAGAATTTCCAGCTTACTTTGGAGGTAAATCCTTAAGATTTTCATTATTTTCTTATTATTATTTGAGCTGTTCTTATTTATTGTTCAAGTAAAATATTGTATAGTTTCAATCTAATGAAACAAGACAACCAACCAGGTTTAACTTGAAGGAGAGTTTTTTTAGCATCATAAAAACATTCATATATTTCAACTTTCTTGCCTATTCTCTCTTTATCTCCGCGTGTGTGCGTGTGGATGAGACACACATGGATGTATAGGAGCAATCGTGACATTTGAAATTTCAACGGAGATATGGTTTGGGAATACTAACTTACATTTGGTGTTTTTAAAAGAACGGAAGGCAGACAATCCTGCAGCTTGGAAGGGTGGGCAAGTCAAAGTATGTGATGGATTACAGGTACACAATGACACAATTTGAGTGCTTTAAGAGTTTGAAGAGAAAAGGGTTTTTAAGAACTTGAAAAATAAAAAAGTTTAAAGATTCTGATGCATATATATAAAAAAAAAAAAAAAGAACGAAAAATAACGAATCCATCTTTGTCTTTCAGATATCCATTGACTGGTTACCAAGCGTTCTGCATATGTTTGGCTTCTATTGATTCAAAGCTTTGCTGCACAATGTGATTACAATCCACTTTCCTCTTTGTTGTTCAATCTCCGAACACAAAGTATTCAATATCTCTTGGTTCCATTTTTGTTCTTGTACCGCAATTTTGAGTCACAAGACAAGACTTCGAGGAAAGGGGGGAGAGGAGAAGAGTCACCATTTTGTGGAAAGTTGTGAAGCCACCAAACATGTTGAAGGGGATTTTGTATATTCCTTTCATTAAGCTCAGAAAGACAAGATGGGAAAATATGAACAATTTATTGGTGTACTTTTCAAATTGAAAAAGAAAAAGAAAATTAATTTGACTTTCTTCTCGATATGAATTCCTGTGAATAATTTCTCTACTTGTTTATTGATACTTACCCACTGTATGATTGAGATTAATGGTTTGAAATGCAGAGAGGGTACTTCACTATTACTAGAGTTTGGTATATCATTGATAGCAATAATTGGTGGGAATGGCCTTATAAAGAAGTCTCTTTCCATCCAGCTACAAATGCTTGGGATAGGAAGTTTTAGGAGAATTAAAGGGTGTATTCGAGTGAGTTGTTTGTTGTAGTGTCTAAAAAGAATTGTACTTGCCATTTTTAAAAAGGTTCCATTTAGCATCAGATTTATTTGGGAGATCTGAGTGTCTTGGGGGAATTTAATGTTTTTAATTTTTTTAGCCTATGCTTAATATGAGATTTGAAACTACAAATCCATCTTGCACATGAAGCAAATCCGAAATGGTTTATCAAAACAGTTTCCTTTTATGGGAGAAATCAGTTGAATATATTCCTGCTATGCTCATAATTGGAAATTGTTAAATAGAATTTAAAAAGATTTTAAATATTCTTGAAAATTATTTTAAATAGTAGAGTCAAACCAGAGAAGTTTTCAACAAATATTCAAGTGGTTTAGTTAGGTTGGTCACTATTTTGTGGGCGTATCAACTGCAGTGAACATTGAACTTATTGTTGGAGTAGGTGAGTAGCATCCAACTAACCTTACTTGATTCTGAACTAAATTTGATATTTCAATTAGAAGTCAAAAATTAAAAAAAGAACAAAGAAAAGAAAAGAGGAGTGGGCGTCAATAGATGATTCTCTACGTGATCGAACCAATCATCCGCAATCATAGCGTCAGGACCACCCTCAAACAACGCAGGTATAAGCTTGACAAACCTTGAAATGAGCTTGAGACGTTTCTCCATTTCCATCTCTTCCATTTGAACTACCGGTTGTGGTGCCGGTTGGGATGTCAGTTGCAGAACATTGGCAACTGTAGCCCATAATGCATCTTGCAATAGTGTGGTTTGGGCTTGCCCCATCAAGCCTTCACCCGTCTTAACATTGCCCCTTCTAGTGGGGACACCCCTAGGTGGAACCAAGTCCCGAAGAAGCGTATCCTCATCAACTTGCTCCACGGGATTGAGCTAGAACTTTCCCACATCACCCCTCGATGGCCTATCACCCTTTGGCCTAAGACGATCTTGTCGTGGTGGCATGACGCTAAAAATGAGGAAACATGTAACGACCCGAACTCAGGGGTTCGAATCGCTAATCGGGTCCTTGCCCAAACTCGAGGTCATCTAAGGGCATTAAGGTCCTTTCCAACGTCAATGCATCATTCCACGCCTTACATGCAGTACACCATCACATCATTATTTAAAAAGGGTTACAGGGATTAGATGGACTGAGTTGCGTCGATCGACTGACAGCCATGTGTCGGTCGATCGAAACGATGATAAAAATCCCACGGTCTCAGCTTCTCCCCAAAATGGGTTGTCAGACGGTTGACAATTCCGTGTCAGCAGGCTGAAAAGGAAGTTCCGGTCGGCTGATAGTGCCATTCAGCCAGCCGAAACAATTAATTGTGATGGCCCAAGTTTTACAAACCCGGTGCAACAATGAGTGACCCGAAACTGATCCAAAACTAACTTGAAACTGACCCGATAACAGATCCCAGATGCGAAATCGAAAGAGAAGGGGTCTCTAGAAATGAATATCATCTCTAAAACGCCAAAGCAACTTCCCATGAAGCCACAAAACTCAAATGAAAATAAAAGCGGAAGCTAGGTTTTTAAAACCGGATAAAGTGAATCCCAAGGGTAAAATGGTCTTTTTAAACTAAAATGGGTGCTGTCATGCACATTATTGGGAAGACGATGAAAAATTAATAAAGTTAGACTCAAGAATCGCTTGAGTCGGAGTCCGGATAAAAGAGATATGAAATCTCGAAGTTTTAAAGAAAAACTGAAATTTTAAATGTGCCTAGGGGCATCAGCGATCGATCACAGAAGTCTGCAAAGGATCGCAGAGGTTTGTGAAGGATCAAAAAGTGCTCTACGAACGATCGCCAAGTCGGCGATCGATCGCTGTTTGCAGAGCTGCACCAGAAATTTTGCGAAAACGCGTGTTTTTCGAAGCTAAAACCAAATCTTAAATTTCAACATGAAATGTCAAAATGCCCTTAAGTGCATATTTTGCAAAAATGATCTCAAACTTGAAACAAAAAACATCAATTGCATAAAAATAAGTTGTTTGGCCCTTGGCCTCATTACATATGCATCAAACGAGTCTCAAATAGTGTATTTAAGTATAATTTACATATCCCAAATGAAAACTACAAGTTTTGCATTACAATACCAAAAAAAAGTTAAACATGCTAACACTTGCATGTATGCAAAAATACACAAAAGGTATTCCGATGTAACCAAGCCAAACTAGGGATGTTATGCATCCCAAAACAAGGTCTCCTTACCTGAAAAAGTCCCAAACAACTACAGTAAGTAAACAAGTTACTCGTAGGAAGAAGAGCATGCGTATACCTTAAAGTTTCAAATGTTATGCAAGTTTAATATAGACCAACACAAGGGATCATTCCTCCTAACGTCTAAGTTGCAAGGTGAACTAAGGGATCATCCCAAGCTACATTAAGTAATTGAAATGAAATGCACAATGCACAAGTATACAATGCACAAGTATACTAAACCATATTGAAGCCTCAAGTACCAACTCAAAAGCTATAAGTAATCATTGATTAATAACTTGGAATTGAATGCGAAATCAAGTAGTGGAATATCTTAAACATGGAATCCCGGAATTTAACCAAGCCGTTTAGTGATTTCGGGTTACTAGCCCGCAAGGAACAACCGAGTGTGCACTCTATGGAGAGAACTCATATCTCCCGCACTAAAGCCAAACTTTAGCCGTCAAATGAACAATGCTCCATGTCTTTCCAAAATCAAGAATAAACACAAAACTTATACTCAAATAAATAATGCATGAAACCACATTCTATGCATGTAACGACCCACTCCACCACATGGTATGATACTGTCCGCTTTGGGCCTGAGCCCGCATGGTTTTGCTCTTGGGTTTCACCCCAAAAGGCCTTATACCAATTGGAGTGACACACCTACATATAAGCACTTCACTTTTCCCTCTCCCAGGCGATGTGGGACTTGTGCACCCGTAGCTCGCCAGTGTGGTAGCCTGACAGTGTCTTTCGCACCCGCCCACGGCACACCTGCCTACAGGGTCATCACAATCCACCCCCCTTGGAGGCCCGACGTCCCCGTTGGCACATTTCCGGCTGGGTCAGGCTCTGATACCATTTGTAACGACCCACTCCACCACATGGTATGATACTGTCCGCTTTGGGCCTGAGCCCGCACGGTTTTGCTCTTGAGCTTCACCCCAAAAGACCTCATACCAATTGGAGTGACACACCTACATATAAGCACTTCACCTTTCCCTTTCCCAGGCGATGTGGGACTTGTGCACCCGTAGCTCGCCAGTGTGGTAGCCTGACAGTGTCTCTCGCACCCGCCCACAAGGTCATCACACTGTGGGCGGGTGTGCCGTGGGCAGGTGCGAGAGACACTGTCAGGCTACCACACTGGCGAGCTACGGGTGCATAAGTCCCACATCGCCTGGGAGAGGGAAAGGTGAAGTGCTTATATGTAGGTGTGTCACTCCAATTGGTATGAGGCTTTTTGGGGTGAAACCTAAGAGCAAAATCGTGCGGGCTCAGGCCCAAAGCGGACAGTATCATACCATGTGGTGGAGTGGGTCGTTACAAATGGTATTAGAGCCTGACCCAGCCGGAAGTGTGCCGATGGGGACGTCGGGCCTCCAAGGGGGGTGGATTGTGATGACCTTGTGAGCGGGTGTGTCGTGGGCGGGTGCGAGAGACACTGTCAGGCTACCACACTGGCGAGCTACGGGTGCATAGTCCACATCGCCTGGGTAGAGGAAAGGTGAAGTGCTTATATGTAAGTGTGTCACTTCTAATTGGTATGAGGCCTTTTGGGGTGAAGCCCAAGAGCAAAACCGTGTGGGCTCAGGCCCAAAGCGGACAATATCATACCATGTGGTGGAGTAGGTCGTTACAATGTATAAATAGGGTGAAACCACACAAACCATGTCCTAGGGTTTCATGTTTACAATGACATTTAAAATGTCAAATCTTTAATGTGCGATTTGCTACACAAAACAATGGCATACAAAATGTCAAATCTTCAATGTGCTATTTGCTACACAGAACAATGGTATCATATGTCATGCTAAATCAATTCACCATCATAGGAAGCCATAGATACTAAATCCACAATAACTTAGTAATAAGCTTGCAAGGTAAACATAAGTAGTATTCCACAAGAGTTCATTATCACAACACTTATGAAATCTCTAGAATTTAGTAATCAACTAAATTGACAATACACCTTATACAAGATATATATAAATACTACACAGGCTTGAATCATCAAAACCTAAGTCAAGTATATAGAATCAACATCTAAATGTAATCTTACAACATAACAAGTATGTATACAATATATAGGAAACCCCAAAACAATTAAGACATACTACAACCCCTACCTCACTAGAGGATTGTTCCTCTAGAATCCAAGGCAAACGAACTCAAAATGAAAAACCAGGCAAATATTTTCTAAATCAAGAAGAAAGGAAGATTTGATCTTCAAAGTGGAAGACCAAATTCCTCAAGGAAGGGGGTCGAATTTTAGAAATGGCAACTAGGGTTTCTAGTTTTTCTCAAACTGCTCACTAGAGGATTGTTCCTCTAGAATGCAAGCCAAACAACATCAAAATGAAAAACTGTAAAAAGTTGTTTTTGATATAGAAGGGGGGAAGATATGATATTCAAGGTGGAAAGTTAAATTCCTTAGGGAAGGGGGCCAAAATCCGAAAATGGTGGAAGAGGTTACAAGGCCCTTCAATGGTGGTTCAAGTGAGGAAGACAATTATCACTTCTTTTCCCACTAACCAAATGGCCTTGATAGCTAAACACACACATACCAACACCATCTCT